TTGATTCAGTGACTGGGATAATTGGGATGGGAGTGTCGGAGACAGTGCGATTGGCACAGGACGGAGCGGAGTTTAGGGCTGTTGTACATAGGGTTGCTATGAGTCGCAAGCTACTCGACGGCACATAACAACAACAACAACAAAAGGAAAGTGTTGCTATAATTGTCATTTTTAAGCAGCCATAATATTAATACAGTACCTGTTCTTTCTGTCCTTCTCTGTACAGAAATTTTTTCAGGATGGACAATTTAAAAAGAGTAACTTTCTATTAAAACTTGAAGAATTAAATGACCTGTAAGAGAGAGACTATTTAATGGAGTTTGGCAATTCTTTTTTTGTTTTGTTAGACTTTATTTTCTTAATTTCAATGAATGTTTACAGAGATTTTGGATTTCCAGTCATTTATTGTTGCATTTTTCTCCCTGTCCACCACTCCCCCCCTGCCCCCAGTTCGCTCTTCTCTTTGAAAAGTTCTTTCATTGGTATACAATCCCCCCCCCCCCCCCCGAGTACACTCCACTATGCAACTTTCATGCTAGACTCTTGTCATAAGAGTTTGGCAATTCTTAACTGAAGGATATATAAAAGTTCAATTAAAAAATTTTTTTAATGTATTTGTTTTTGGTTTTTTTCTTTTTTAAAGCTTTTCCACCTACTAGTTTATTTACAAAATTAGAATGCAAATTCTAACAAATCTCCCTTACCCTCCACCCATCAAATTGTACAAACCCCATGATTAATCCTCTTCTCCCCCTGCACATCCACATCTTCTGCTTCCAACCTCTTCCACCCCACTTGGATCCTTGTACTCATTCTGGAAGGCAGTTTGACACTTCCCCAAAAAGCTGAACATAGAAATTCCATATGACCCAGCTATTCCACTACTTGGAATATACCCTGAGAATATGAGAATTGAGGCACAACCTGAGATTTGTACACCATTCTTCATAGCAGTGTTATTCACCACCACAAGAATATGGAAACAGCCCAAATGTCCAACCACAAACGAATGGATTGAGAAATTATGGTACATTCACACAATGGAATACTATGCAGCACGCAGGAACAGTGATTTTATAAATTATTACCTAACTTAGGAAAGACTGGAGAGCATTATGCTGAGTAAACGAATTCAATCCCACAAGGATAAATATTGTATAAAACCATTATTGTAGAACCAGAGCATCTCTTTAAGCTGTTAAAGAGGAAAGAAGTCATTTGAGGACTCAAGTGGGCCTTTCCCGAGCCGTAGTGTTTTCAGTCACTTCATGTAGACATGAAAGCTGGGCAGTGGACAAGGAAGACTGAAAAATGGATGCGGCTAAGTTATGGTAGTAGTGAAGAATTCTTAGTACTCCATTGACTGCCAGAGAAGAAACAGATTGGCTCAGCCGTGACAGGTTTGTGACGCTGGTGCAGGACTGGACAGTGTTGTACGTGGGGTCACTGTGCGTTGGTGCCAACAACATTTCAGGCACAGCAACAGCTGAGGCACACTTGAGTCATCAGGCCTGGGCCCCACCCTGACCTGCGGCCGTCTTGGGGTGTGGGTGAGCTCGCCATGTCTGAGTCAGCTGGGAAAGGTGTTCCTGGGCTGAGAAAGGCCAGAGCCAGCAGCCCTCTCACTGCTGGTGAATGAGCATGGGCCCCATCAGCATGCTGGTCTTTCAGCTGGCCTGTGTGGCCCTGCAGTCAGGCAGCCCCAAAGCCCAGTGGTCACTCCTGAATTTCCTGTTTGTGTCACCAAAAAGAAGACAGTGTCATCTAGTTAACCCTCAGTTTCTTTAGTTGTAAGTGGGTTTAACAGCAGGGAGCTCTGGTGCCTTATTGGTTAGGAGTTGGCACTGCTTAATTCAAAGGAATGGGGTTTGGATCTACTGGATGCGCCCCAGGAGAAAGATGGGGCAGAGAAATCAGGGACCTGCTGGCTTATGTGTCTCTTCTTTTTACTCCTAGATCCGAGAAACAGAAGTCATCAACCCCCTGGACCTGGAAACCCAGTATTTCTCAGGAGCCCTGCCAGATGACGAGGATGTGGGAGGCCCGGGGCAGGAACCTGATGACTTTGAGATGTCGGGCTCTGGAGATCTGGGTATGGAGGGTGTGTGGTGCGCAGGGCACGGGGCTGGAGGGAATGGTGGCCTCTCCGCCTTTAGAATCTGGCCCCACCTTCAGGCTTGGAGCAGGGTTTTCCTATAATCCTCTTCCTTCCCCTCAAAAACCAGGGACACTAAAGGAACTGGATTAACCTTTTCTACCCTTAATCTGCTGGCACAGTGGATCAGGCACTGGCCTGCTAAGGGTTGGTGATTCGAACCCATGAGCTGCTTTGTGTGAGAGAGATGGGACATTGTGCTCCTGTCGATTTACAGCCTTAGAAACTCAAGGCATCAGACCGTCGCTATGATTTGGACTCGACTTGATGGCACTGGCTCAGCGGGTTTCTTTGAGATCCTCCTAGAGCAAGATCCTTACTGATTTTAGCTCTGGGGTTTTGAGCACCGGCTTGAAGTTGGCTCAGTCCCTTCACTTTAATGGCCAGAGGGCATGGTGGGAGTTGGGGGTGGGGTTTCAGGACAGGTTGAGGGTAGTAAAGGTGGGCTGGGAATTCAGTGTGTGTGTTTAATATTCTTTTTCAACACTGAGAGTAGAGAAAGTGATGTTTGCTTCCTTTGGAAAGAAAGTATACCAGTTTGAGAGCCAGTGGTGGCCAGGAGTGGGAACTGGGAGGTGGGGATAGACCACACCTGGGAACTTGTTCTTGTTGGTGTGTGCCATTGAGACCAGACTGACTCATAGCTGACCCGGCAGGTAAATTACATCTTTTTCCCCGAGGAGCAGATGATGGATTTGAACCACTTGCCTTTGAGTTAGCAGTTCAACTACTTATTACTAGAATCAGGGACCCTGTGTTTGTTTTGGTTTTTTTTTAGGGGGTGGGGGTTGATTGTAGGTTTTTCTGTGACTGCTTAGCTCTTGCCAAGAGCTACGGAAGTACTGTTCCCTGTTTCCTGAATTTGAACTTTGGAGTCACACAGTCCTAAGTTTAAATCTCTACTCTGTGTGAGAGCTGGACCTGATATTCCTAATGTGTAAAATGAGAGTGATAATGCTAGTACATTTTTAATTGAGTTAAAGCTTTCAGAACATACCAAAATGGTAAATGTTTTACCATATAATGATTGCAGTTCAGAGCTGTGCATTGTAAACATTATGGCCCCAGGGATCTTGTTAAAAAAATGCAGCTTCTGATTCAGTAGACCCTGAAATTCTACATTTCTAGCCAACATCCAGGCAAACCTGTTGGTCCTTGGCTTTGTATTTTATAGAGCAAGAATGTGGAGTTGATAAACATCTGCCCCTTTACCACTCATAGCTTCTCTCATAAAAAAAACAAACAACACAAAACCAACCAACAATAAAAACCACAAACCGAAACCAACCCATTTCACAGGTGAGGTGACTGGCTAGTTTGGGACAGAAAATCTGCCATGGTTGAAGGGGTCATTATTTGGGGTAACTGACCTAACACAAACTTTCTGACCCTACAGATGACTCAGAAGACCCCAGGATCGCCCCTAAAGTTATCTTGCCTTTGGTAAGTAGCTGCACTGCTGCCTCTGTTTCCTTATTCCTTAAGAATTCCATATGAGGCAGAAGATACAGTCCAGGTGCACGAGTAGGGTGAGGTGGGGTGGAGGGGACTGACCTCTGCTTTTATCTGAGACCTTGGACTCCTTCTGGGGACAATGACAGCTTTTAGGCCAAGGCAGAGATGAGAATCTGGCCTTATCAGTGCTGTTTCTCGGCTCTCCTTATCAGGCTTCATAGATGATATATCTGCCGCCTTCTGCTGCGTATGTCCTCATGTTAGGTAATTCACCTTTGTCTAGTCTCATCGGAATTAAACTGCTTCTCTTTCCTGGTGGTGACATTTTAAAAAAATTTTTTTTTTTTTTTT